TGATGGTCATTCACATATTTGACCCAAATGCACAAAGTTCAATTCAAATCAAACTGGTCAACTGGTTAGAATTTTTACCAATTTTGTTTTGGATTTATAAGAACCATAGGCAAGTCATCAATGTGAAAGGAAAGTGAAAAGATGAAAGCATAATAAAAATTCTTTTAAAAAGTAAAATAACAAAAATACCGAACTCCAAGGAAAATTCAAAACGGACAGTCCCTTATCAAATGGCAAAATCAAAAGCTCAAACACATCAAACGAATGGAAAACAACTGTCATATTTCTGACTTGGTACAGGCATTTTCTTATGTAGAAAATGGTGGATCTAAAATGAATTCCTTTTCTTCTGCATTGAAATGCCTGACTGTTGTACTGTGGTATCATGCCTGCCTTGAGGTTTGATCCCTGAACTTGTCAAACCAAGGTGCTGAAATTAAGTGATAACTGTATTGTATTTGAAGCTTTGTGGACGTCCATCAGTAGTTTTACTGTCACAAATTGAGTTTACCTGGCGATCAATTTACATATCAGCAATCAAACAACATAACCAAATTTTTGGTATCCAGACTAGAATTTAATTGATTGATTGATTGGTATTTAACGCCACTTTCAACACTATTATGCGTTTTCGTGGCAGTTAGTTTTTATGGTGGAGGAATCTAGAGAGAACCACCGACCTTTTGGTAGGAAAACCGACAATCCTAGTCAATAAAGATTGGAGTCGAGTGCACCGGCCCTGTGAGGGATTCGAATTCACAACCTCAGTGTTGACTGGCTAGTGATACAGTAGTTCAACTACTTAGACCACTCGGCCACCGAGGCCCCCTACTAGAATTTAATGATGCCCATCAAATGTTTATTACTTTTTATAGAAGTATCGAACCATAACTTTTTGAGAAGGGTATATGGTTATAAAAATAAGAAGATGTGATTTAATTGTAAACGAGATAACTCTCCACCAGGGACCAAATGACATAGAAGTTAAAAGCCATAGGTCATCGTATGTTCTTCAACAATGAGCAAAACTCATACTGCATAGTTAGCTATAAAGGCCTCGAAATAACAAATGTAAAACAATTCAAACGAGAAAACTAACGGCCTTATTTATGAACAAAATAATGAACAAAAAAAAACTAATGTGATAAACAGCAACAAATGACAACCACTGAATTACACGCTCCTGACTTTGGATAGGCACATACAGAATGTGGCAGGGTTGAACTAGTTTGCTGGCACCAAACCCTCCCCCTAAACTGGGACAGTAGTGTAACAACATAAGAACAAACTATAAAAATCAGTTGTAAAGGGCTTAAGTCATTAGATCGTTACAAAGCAGAAATACATCTGACAAAAACACAGACTGGATGTGGCAGGGTACTTATACATCCCCACAACAAAAAAGACACTAAGCACAGATCTGAAAGTACTAGCAGTTATTGACAGCTAGTTCAAAGCAAGGGTCCGGAAACGGTCATATTTGCAACTAATAAAAAAAATCATGCATCTAAGACTAAATATTCCTTTAATCCTCTAAAAAATTAACTGAATGAAAAGTGTTTCAAAAGTTTCCTGATGTTTGTCTGATAAGTCATGATGTCTACTTTGTAAGGAACATCAGTTCATATTAATGAATTATTTTGTCAGATGTTGATACTTTAAGTGATCTGTGGAAAATAAAATTGCATTGCTATTATTTGTCTGTTTGTCTTTTTATTTTTGGCCATGGCGTTGTCAGCTTGTTTTCGATTTATGAGTTTGACTGTCCCTCTGGTATCTTTTGTCCCTCTTTTAAAGAGCCTGGGTCACATTAAAGAATAAAATATTGAAAAAGAAAAAAATCTTCTGAAATGAGTCAATCTGGACCAAGTTATTTAGTTCCCCATTAGAGTCTACATTCATCTTTTTCATTTGTTTTAGAAAAGTTTTTATGTTAGTAGTACTTTTCTAAGAAGTCAGGCTACAAAACTAAAAATAAAAATTCAATAAAAGAAATTAACCAGGAAACTTTTTGAAGGAAGTTTTGACTTTAAATTTTTAATGCAACTTGATTTTAAGTGTTCACTTGTATTGTTCAGTTCATTCTAAAGTCTGACCCAATTGCAATTTGTTTCATTAAAACAAACTGTTAAACTGGTCTGAAAGTGTATCCAACTGCTGAAAAGAAACACAGTCAAATCGTCAGAGTGTAGGGTTAAAAAATAAAATATACTTACAATCATTAAGATATTTTTTAACAAATAACCTATTAAGATTTGAATTCCACTTCAAGGTTTAGTTATGAAAGTGTGGCTAAAAATTTCTATACTTAATTTTATTGTAAAGAGTCATTTGTAAGTCGAGATGTAACAGACCTTTTTTTTCAATTTTTTTATTGCTATAAAAATGTCCAAATTAAGTTTTCATAGTTTTTTTCTTTAAAAAGTCTTCTTTATTTATAAGAATCAGACATCAGTTTGAATAAAATGTGGTATATTCATTAAAATATATTTTAAGGGGATACCCAGCACGTATGACTAAAATAGATTTGGCTTGTTTAATTTTCATAAAGTTTCACTGTCTTATCTCCCTTTAAAACTTCATGAAAACATATTTTAGCTAAAAGTATATTTCACAAAGTATTTTAGATTTTGATATAATATGACAGTATTTATTTGATCACTTTGCACTTTGATAACTATAGACTGTACTTTTCTACAGCAGTTGGTTAAAATTTCTGACCAGTTTGAACAATTTGATGTTATAAAACATATTACATTTCTGTCAGAACTTCGATTACTTACAGTAGGTTGAGAGCAACACTTGCAGTGAGGAACAGTTTGTCACACTCTATATTGTAAAGATGTTTTATTTTCTATACTGGCCCTGGTATCAGCTTACACATGCAGGTCCTGGTGTAAGCCTGAGTTTCCACTTTCCAGCCTGAAGGCTTTATTTAATATGAGAGGATGAGAATCAATTGTTTTAAAAATGGAGACAGAGGCTCAAGAAGACAAACCTTAGCATGAAGTTTGGTTGGTATTTTGTCCATCCCATTATTTGTTGCATAAATAAACTTTGAACTGTGATAGTCACAGGAAGCGCCTAAACATTTATAGCAAAGAATATTTATATACGTCATAGCCATAGGTATGTTTGTTAGCTCATTAAATTGAGATATGCCTTGTTTCACCTCAGAAAAAGAGCCTTTATATTTTATTGTCAGGGAACCCAAGAGTGCAAAAATAAATTGTATTTAAATTGTTGAGTTATTTCCCTTACTATAAATTTCCACATTAAATCTTGCACTCATATGTGTGAGGCATTAATAAATTGCAGTTTACAATGAAGATCTTCTTTTTATAGTTTGAGGTTTACTGTTCCAATTTAACGTAAATTATGATGAGAGAAAAAAAAATAATGGAATTAAAAGTTCATATTTCTCAACTTTTTATACCCATGCTCTGAAAAGAAGGGTTTATCGGTTTATGTCTGCATATCTGTCTGTGTGTCTATCCCATGAAATTGTTGGTGCCTATTTCTTAGAAACTTTCTAATCAGAGCTTCCTAACATTTGATATCAAGCTTTATGTGAGCATGGTATGCTGTGTAATGTATTTTGAGATTCTATGCTCAACAACTGCAAATCAGGGCATCAATGCTATATTGTGTTGTGTGTTTTTTAAAAAATTGTCCATTTAAGAACCATATACCATGCATACTGTGGATTCATTTATTTTCGTGGATATTTGATTCTGTGGTTTTGCCTAATAAAATTGAGAATGGAAATGGGGAATGTGTCAAAGAGACAACAACCTGACCAAAGAGCAGAAAACATTGCCTAAGTCTACATAACTTTCACCCATATAATCCACAAATTGGTATACCGTGAATAATACTGAATCCAATGTTATATATATTTAATGAAATGTGACAAAAATTTTCCTATGTATAGTCATGTAATTTTTTCCTCAAGTTCCATAGCTGTTTATTTTACAGTCTCCATCCAGTGAATCTTAGTCTGAAAAGTCTGGCTGCTAGAAGTTACATAGAGGTTAAACAGCACTAGGATTGTTTAAATGAAAAGAAGAAAAAATTTGTAAACTGATTTAAACAAAAAGTCATGAATGATACTAATTTTAAGGCTTCTAAAGCTGCTAACCTTCTACGTTATGTGGTGCTGGTTGAGAGTTGTCTCATTGGCAATCCTGCCAGATCTTCTTATCTATTTATAACTGAGTACACTGTACATATGTATCATCTACACACTCCTCAGTCTCGAAAGAGATCATAGAGCAAATCTATAAACCAAAAAGTTGAAGGGCATTGTAAAATAAAAACTCCCAAGTTATGGCAAATCTTAACCAAGTCCATCTATCACTTGGAGTTGAAAACCAGAGTGTTTCAAATGATTTTTACTTTTCTATAAGCTGTTTATTCCCAGAAAATGACCTTGAAGGCTGTACGGTGACCTTTAGTTGTTAACCTGTACCTCATTTGTTCTCTGGTGGAGGGAATTGTCTCATTGGTAGTCAAACCACATCTTCTTATTTTTATATTGTTAATAATACTTCATGTAAAAAGCACAGGGGAACTGACTGTTACACTGGGTTGGTGATAAAGCCAGTTTTGTATGTCCTAATTTGAAAGAGATGTATTGAATAGTGTACTGTGGATTCATGGGATACCAATTTTTGTCGATTTCTTTTGGTAAAGGTGAACCACGAAATGAAATGTTCAACGAAGTACAAATTATTAAAGCTTAGGTATGCAGACTGCCATTAACACCATGACATCAAATACATTTGTATCCATGAAAGTACACTGATTCCTTAATTCAAGAAAATTAATATCCACAAAAAAAATTAAAGAATCCACAGTATTATATAACTGATGATAAAATTCAATTGGCATGATAACTTGATTATTTTAATTTAACTGCAAGCTCTTTTTGATCATTTTTAAGCTGGGGGCAAAAAAAAAAATTCAGCAAAATTTTGTTTAAAACTCTGAAAGATAGATTCAATCACTCAAATACATTTAATAACAGAAACAACTTAGACATGGTGACCATAGATACAGCCTGCTGAGTCCAGTCCTTTTTTACAGCAAGCCCATTTATACACAACGTGCACAAGTTTCCCATTTACATCATATTGTTCAGTAATTTCACGACCTTTTGGGTGATAGCGACAAGACTTGCTGGAATTTTCTTTTGGTTTGAATAGTTTCTGACATCTCAAACACTGAGCCACTCCCATTTTAGAATTCCCATTTTTATTCGAATAAATATGCGCTTGTAGCCTTGTTTTTAGTGCTGAAGATTCGTCAATTGGATTTGGATATCCTTGCAACCAGTCACCTTCAATATAAGTTCTCTGCCTAGAGCTCAATGGTGCCGTACAGTGTTTGATGGTTCTTCCTGGGCTCTTAGGAACTTCACTCTTCACTTCATTTAAATGAAAGTTTGTCCCTGTGTGGGCTTCATTGTATTTTTTCACAACTTCTTGTAATTTATGCAAGTGCATTTTAACATTATCCAGTTCGGAAGTCAGCCATTTTATCTCATTAACTCTTTCTGTTAGTTGTTTTTGAATTGATTCTTTCTCCCAGTGAGCTTTGGCAATAGCATTTTTCAAATATTCAATATCTCTGTCAGAATATTTAAGCAGTTTATCCTGTGGCTCCGTCTCATCCATTTCGTCTATGATTCCCGCCATTTGCTTCAGGTTTATAATCCTGTATTTCAGTGTATCCAGCATGTCGTCTACCGATGCATTCTCTTCTGCAATGCTGTTGTCCATTTTTAGATTAGCGTGACTTATTTTTCGCTTATTGAAATGTAACATATCCATCAAATTTTGTAACGAAACTTGATTTGCCAGTGTTTCTTTGTGTTGACGCTCAATCTCGTTCATTGCGGCATCTGTTTTGTCTTTCCAGTGATTGCGTTCAGCTTGAAGCATTTTACACAAAGACGTTTCTATGTGGTCAGGGGAAACCATGCCATTTTTGCCGAATTTTAGTAATTTTGTAACAGTGTGAATAATATCGTCATCAATAGTAGTCTCCTCATCTTTGTCATCAGAGGACAATGATTGGTCCATAGCATCCTGCTCCAAATGAATGGATAATTTTCTTGTTTTCCTTTCCTCAGTCATAATTATGTAATTTCTTTTTATCGGTATTTTGAAGTCTTATCTGAAAGTAGATGAAAGTACAACTTTATAATTCTTATAAATCAAATCAAATCAAATTATTTTATTGGTGTAAATTCCAATACGGGAATGATACCAGCTGACATTTACAAAAAATAAATACAAAAATAGACAAAAATAAACAAAAACAAATATACAGAGACATATTTTCTCAATGATAAGAGACACATATTTTATATCTACATGTACATTGCGTGGAGGTGTTATTCATACTATATTATTAATTCAAGCTATTACAATTAGCTTTAATACTACAACAGTTCTTAACAACATTATGTTTGCTTTAAATGAATGTTTGAATCATACATATCGCTTATTCCAGCTACACATACAGTACAAATGTCAGTATCATTACTTTTCAAGATGAAACTAAATTTATCTTGTTCAGACATATTAACAAAAGATGGAACTATATCACTTAAATTACAAAAGAGTATATATTTTCTTTTAAATTCCAACTCTTTTACATTTAATGAGGAAATGGAATTCATATATATATGATTTGCATATTAGGGAATACTTTTACATGATTGGTCAAGAGGGCTTCCGGTAGTGGCTCTTGAAGTTATTTATTTTTTGATAGACGACATTGACGAAACTACTTTTTGTAATTAATGTAAACAAGATGGCAGCGATAATAACACAAACCGGCTCTACGTTAAAAATATTTATTTTCACTTTGCGTTTATCGATAAATTAAATAATAAACACAAAACCATTCATTTGAATGATAATAAGATATTTTTGTAGTTTATTTTTTATTAGATAGCAAATTTCATGGAGTACATATTTTTTTGTTAACCAAAAAATATATTCATGTGCCAGGCCAATTCTATGAAACAAATATACAATTTACATCTAATAGAGGTACGAGTGGGGAAATTAAATTCCTTATCTCCAATTGTAAAGATTTATAAGGATTAAACGCCTTTTTAAGCGAATTTATTGGTGTATAAACTGGACCAAGTAACTCACAAACATATCTGGTTAAAAAAGAGTCCTCAGAACAATAAATCTGACCTCATATTGTAAATTTTGAGTAATGATTCAGGAATGTTTGTAGGTGACTGTTTATTTTGTGTTCATTTGAGTTAAATGATCAATGATGACTTTGTGTCTCTCTAAATGATTTATTGGTAACTTTTAATGTGGGAAGTGGGACATGATAATCTGACGCTTGTTGGTGAGAGAAAAAACCTCAATGTCATAAAGCTGTAATATCACAATCCCCACTGTGATACCAAATGCACATGAACAATAAGCTGTTAATTTTTATAGTCCATTTAAGGGACGTATTATGGTGTACCGTCCTCTGTCTGTCTGTCCGTCCGTCGTAACATGTCAGACAATAACTCAAAAACACTTTAATTTTCATAAAAGAGTATCATGTTCTCATGGCGCTGCTCTTTATCAACTTCTGAGGTATTATAAACATGCGATTTTCGTAATAGTTAAACTAAAAATCTTCAAATTGGTAAACATTTGAATTTGAATTTAAGGAAACATAAATCAAATAAAAACCTACCATTAATTTATATGTACTGGTAGCTGCAAAATGGAAAAATAACATGGAATTTACCTTTTCAGATTTTCACTGGCATTTCTGTATAAACTGAGAACAAAACAAATATAGAGAAACCTAACACATAACATTTAAATTTTAATTAGCTACAATTTCAATTAATGACATAAAATTTGTCTCAAAAACAGATTGGTTATTATCAATATTTCAGTATTTTAATATGAATAATGCACATGTTTAGGTTATGTGACATTGATTTTATTGAACGGTAACCAACTGAGGAAATATTATACTGAAGATTTTTTTTGTTATTAAAAAAAATTTAAGGATCCCTATTAGAATGAACCAACAGATGAATAAATGAATTTATAGAAAGATGGACAAATGGATGATTGATAGCATTTGGTAATATTTCAGCCATTATCCTGGCCATTATATAATTCAAGGCTCAACATGAATATTTAAACCAGAGTTACTTGCTTTTTACATGAAGTATATGGAGAGCAAGATTTTTCATTGGTAATTGATAAATTTGAAGAAAAAAAACAATGAACATGTTGTATGTTCATATACATATTTTCTGTAAAAAAAAGGATATATTTAGGAATGGGATTATGGGGAAGATGTCAATCATGCAGTGAACCCTTTTCTCATAAAGAAATAACTTATGAAGTTTCATTTTTCTGATGGCAGACTGTTTGTATTCTGTTGAAATCTTTCTATGAATCTATATCTAAAGTTAGGCTGATAATAATGCTTGAAATATGGTGTCTATTTTTGAAGATAATAAGTTGAACTCTAGTTGAATTTCTTGTATTTTATTTTGTTGTTAGTTTACTGTCTCTATTGCTTTTATCCCCTGTATCTCATACTTGTAATACGATGTATTAGAATGGATTTGGTTCAGTTAATATAATTATTTTTTGTGATTGCTTGATGTTTGCCTTACGCCACATCAGCACAAAATGACTGTATCGAGGCAAGAGCTATTTCAAATGTTTTAACAAAAGGCAGTTTTAAGAATCGTACAAAAGGCTTTCAATAAACTAAAACTTCAGTTTAAAACAAAAATACTTATTTACAAATATTATCTTTTGTGAATGACTTACCATTATAAACCTTCATTTTATTTGTTAGTGTTACTTTATGTTTTAAATCAGCCGGGTGAATTAATTTTCAATCTTTTGTAATTCTGAAGGTGTAACTGGATAGTGTATATGTAATCTTTTAATCCTTTGTTTAAAAAGTCAACTAAACATTTCAAGTTTAATATTTACGAAACTATTGATTTGAGATTAATGTCTACTTGAAAAATATATAAAAAGTAAAAGACTAGTATTGTTGAACATAGTTATGATATAATAGAGGGTAGGAATGCCCTTTATCGTCAAACATCCCTTTTTCGCTATCTTTAGCATCAAATGAGCCTCATTTGTCAAATCTCATTCTGTCAGGTCAAATGCAGTAAAATATTAATAATTGTTAACATTATTTAAACAAATATTTTACCTTCATTTGTCATGTAGGATACCCAATTCCTACCCTCATAATACAATGAGGTGGATGATCTGGTTGTTCTACTAAATGACCAAATGGCATTAGAGGTCTTTTATAATCGCAAAAGACATTTGAAGTTTATATTATAGTTATAAAATTTGTTTTATAAACCAGTCACACATAAAAAGACAATGAACTATATTGGGATACACAAACTTTTATAGAGCTTGTCTTTGCTGTTTATGAAAATGTAACGATCCCTAGGACTGTGTGGCTCTGTGTTTGCAGGGTAAATGCTCTTTTAAAGGGGGACCCAGGACTTTGACTGAAATAGTTTTGGCTTGATTAATTTTCATAAAATTTTGACAAAATATTTACTTTGACCTGTGGACAAAAATATGAAAATTTCAAGAAATTTGAACCACACAATTTACAGGAATAATTTCATTGGATATATAGCAGTTTGACAAACACTAATTTTGATCAATTGAAAAACTTGATTTCTCTTTACTACTTTAATGTAATAAAAACTTTCCGCTGATATTTAGAGAGTTAAGTCCTGAAGGTGTTCTGTACCCCCTTAAACTAAGCTCTGTTTTTGTTCTTTTCATTCTAACAGAGAGGTGCAGCAAGTCGAAATTAAAAAAAAAAAATTAAAGGACAAACTCATACATGTGTAATAGGATATGAAGACAAAACTTTCTTAAATTGTTTATGACCACATCCAGAGAGAAATTTTGAAAATATTAATTTTCAGTTTTCTGTATTTTACTGATAAATGGACTTCATTTTATTACAGTGAATGTTTACAGACAGCTAGGGATTAATTTTTTTGACATGATAAATTTGTAAACCTTCATGGATTGTTATGAAACTTTGACAGAAGCTAATCTTCAAGACCAAGAAATAGCATCTAAAGTAAAAGTTTAATTTTTTTTTTTAAATTGTATTTTACTGATAAATGGACTCACTTTTTAAGTCAATATTACACTTTAACTCTGACAACAGCAATCGCAGACGAGACATAGGGTTCCTTAGAGCCTCTTATGAATTTTTGTGACAATTAAAGACTTTTAAATTTCCTTTGATCTTTCTGTATGATTTTACCATCTCACACTAACTTGAGTGACATGCTTTTTTCCCATTGGTGGAGAAAGATAATGTGTGACATCATTTATTTAGCCTACTCATTAAGATTCCCTACAAAAAAGCAATAAACAGATCTAGCTTATCAATGGTCTTTCAAACTCGAGGATGTTTCTCTGTTACATCTCAACCCAGAGCTGTCACCGTTCGATGTGATTGTAGTATTAGAAACCACCTCTTGTTTGAAGATCCACCAATAATCTATAAAAACCACAAATACTTTGCTTGTTGTTTGAAAACAGAAAAACCAGTACAAATTTTTTGCAATGGTTTTATTTTCACTGATTCAGCAAATGATATAAAATCGTAAAATAAATCACCTAACCTAAAATTGTAATTAAAAGTGTTCAAAATCAGGGACAAGAAAAACACAAAAAATAAACTTGACAAACTCAGTTTTAATCAGCCGTGAAAATTATCAAAATTAAACTCTGCAAAAAATGAAGTATTTTACTATATAAAAACCTTTAAAAAAAAAATCAAATTGAATACAATGCAAAATCTTCAGAAGAGAATAATGGAAATGTGATTAAGCTAAAATGGAAGTAAAGGAGTAGGCCCGGTAAGACCCATTTTTGCCCCAAAAATATAGCATTTTTACGAATTTGTTAAAAATGTAAACTGTTAGTTATTTATTGGAAATTAGAATACTGTTGTCCCATAAATATGGGCTGTTTTTTCTCTTTTACAATACAATGCACATGCATTAGGTACTAGCATCATTAATTCATGCAAAATTACCGAAATCTTCACAATTTTAGCTTTTGTGCTAATTTTTAGAAGGTTTTTGTCTAAAATGGAAGTGGCCGCACTTGTGTTCAGTCTTAATATTTAAATATATGTTGTATTTGATGATACTACATAACAAATTATATTAAGGTTGAAACTGAACACAAATGCTGCCACTTACATTATAGACAAAGACCATCTGAATAGTGACGTTTTATGGCAATATTTGATAGATTTTTCATATTTAAGCTTGAATTTGAGCATGTTTAATGACCAAATAAATGATGTAGACATGTAAGTTTTAAAAAATGTCAAACTTTCGTCAGATATACTTCAAAATTTAGGCCAAAATTAGCTCTTACGGCTTCTCCTTTCCGACCAATGAAGTAAAATATAAAGGAGAAATAATTCTTGTTAGTTATATATGCATCACTACTAGACAATTGTTTAATTTAGAACTATTAAATGACTGCTTTTGTATGTAATTTATGTTTTTAAAAGTCATCCAGTGTGAAATAAAAAAGAATTCCCTTAACTTGAATGAGAACTACTTAATATTTTTTAAAGGTTATACTCTTGGTCCTCAATGCTCTGCTTTATTTGGCTTTTTTATTTTTTTTTTATTTGAGCGTTGCTTATGAGTCTTTTGTAGACCAAACATGTGTGTCTGGTGTACAAAATTTTAATTTAAAAATAAGGAGATGTGGTATAATGATTACCAATGAGACAACTATCCACTAAAGTTCAAATAAAGTGGATGTAAGCAATTATATCTTTGATAAGTTTATTTATAAAGCAATGTAAGCATAGGATGTTTAAGTGCCAATCTATCTAAGAATCTAACAGTGGTGAAAATATGACAAACAAAAACCCACTCAAGTTGACATTATTTTATGTTCAAAATGTATAATGGTGCACGTATATAACATTTGTTAACTTGTCCTGTTCTGGTAATTCAAGATATAATTTGATTGAAATGCACTAGAAAGTAACAATTAAGGGGAGATAACTCCGTAATTTGCTATCATTTTAACCAAAATTTATCTAGAGATTTCTCGAATTACCAGACACACAGAAAAGAAAGACCTACCATTTCTAACTCAGGATGAGTGTAATTTCAAAATAGGATGGTTAGGTCGGTGGGTTTTTTTCGGCCATGTTTTGATTTTTTTCAAAATTGCCTGATTCTTACAAAGACTGGCACTTTAAAATTTATTCAATCTGTATGCAGCTTGAAGTTATACAAATTTTTAAATTTCTTCAACATTTAAGGAATGATTAAATTATGTATGCAAGTTATATAGACCCCCAATGAACTATTGAATACTTAAGTGTTATGATCTGTTTAATCTTTTGTTTGCAAATCAGTGGTTTTAATTCTAGAAATGAAAGTGATATTTAATTATGAAATAAACCGTCAGAAAAATTTGCATTGTATTAAAGGATTAACCTATGAACTCTATTATAGATTGTTAATTCATACAAGTGCAGTGACTGGCTAAATCTTTATACAATTCAGTAATAAGTAACAAACCCCTTTATTCTTTGGTTACAGGTTATACAAATAAAGGAGTGCATATCTTATCCAGATTATTTGGGCTTCATAAATGTTTAAAGATCAAGTGTCTATGGCATGTTTGAATGGAAATCAGAATTAAAGTTTATATTAACATCTTACCATATAAAATTTTGGCATTAAATAGGTTATAAAAAAATAAGAAGATGTGGTATGATTGCCAATGAGACAACTCTCCACCAGAGTCCATGTGAAGTTAACTATAGGTCACTGTATGGCCTTCAACAATGAGCAAAACCCATACTAAATAGTAAGCCATAAAAAGCCCTAATATTACAAAGGTAAATATAAAACAATTCAAACGAGAAAACCATTAGTGTTTCTTCTGTTCATATTAATTGTTAATGTTTATTAATATAAAAATAAGGATATGTGGTATGGTTGCCAATGAGACAATTATCACCCAGAGACCAAATGACAAAGAGGTAAGCAACTATAGGTCATCCTGTAGCCTTCAACAATGAACAAAACCCATATTGTGTTAAAGAAGCTATATGATACCCAACATGACATAATTAGAAATAAGAAGATGTGGTATGATCGAGTGCCAATGAGACAACTCTCCATCCAAGCCACAAAGTATGAAAAGTAAACAATTATAGGTCAGTTAAAGTATGGCCTTCAACACAGAGCCTTGGCTCACATCGAACAGCAAGCTATTAAGGGCCCAAAAATGACTAGTGTAAAATAATTCAAAGAGGAAGTTTACTTTAAGTTTCAAATCAAAGGAACCCAAAGTCAAGGAAAATTTATACTTAAATAGTGTCTGTGCTTGTAAAATTTTTAAGAATTATGTAAGATGGAACTGAAGCATTTCTTATATCTATTTTGATTGTTATAATTATAGTTCATTAGTTTGTTTAAATTAAGATTCTGTTCAAAGGAGAAACAGAGAATCCATACATTCTTTCTGCTTACATTTTAAACAATGATGGATTGATTTCCCTGAAAAAAATTGTCTCCTTAGTAAAATTTTATATGTAAATGATATAAAAGTAAGAAGATGTGGTATAATTGCCAATGAGACAAATAACTGTTACTCATCGAGTCTGACACCAAATGACGTAGAAAGAAAGCAGCTATAGGTCATCATAGGTTATTCAACGTCAAGAGCAAAACCAATACCATACAATAAAAATCACTCTGAATCCACTTTATACAAGCATAAATAGGCTTGAAAAGTGACTCGTATATCAGTCATTCCCAAAGTCGCAGGACATAAGGCAAAGACAAGGAAAAATTGGTTTGGTCCAGTTAAGATTGCTGGACCTACTGACCAGTAAAATTTTGATTTTGTCCAAATCATTTGTTTAAAAGTCCTGTAAAAAAGAGTCTGATCCAGTTAAAAGGAATTTGTTTTACTGGACCAAATGTCCAGTTGATTTCTCAAAGTCTTGAGAACCACTGCACATTACCCAACAGACATCTTCTTCAATGCACATATGTAGTGTCATCCAAATCTAGCAAATAATTCAACTCAAATTCAATAGAAACCAAGTGTGCTGAAAGTGGTGTTAAACACTAACACCAAATGAATCTTTTCCATTTAATTGATCAAGACATCGTCACAAAGATTGGTAAATAGGAATAATACTTACCTTGTATTAAGATGATTCAATGTCTGATTCCTCTAAGTGTTGCTTAGCACTTTCATCAATAGTAAGAACTGTTTGGTTTAAACATCTCAAAAACATATTCAAAAAAATTATCTCCGCTAGTTTGTATCTCGGCTTTAGTACACAGTTTCTTCTTGAGATAAACAATGTCTTGTTAATACATTGATGTAATGTATAACATGTATTTATACACTCGTCGGCTCCAGATAAAACAATTAACGATGGTTATCTTCAAAAACAAAACACTTTAAGTCTTTTATTTTTGTGTCGGTATCATTATATACTTTGGGAATAGTTGTTAGTAGTCTATTTTTTCAAAATATCTATACTTTTTGCCAAATTAGCGTGCATATTTTAACATTTAAAGTCCACAATATTCAATATTTTTCGGTCTTTAGAATATATCTGACTGTGAGATTGTAAAAATTTAAACAATAAGTAATCTTTGACGGTTGATTGGATCTTATTGTTCCAATTTAAATCTGACATGTTATTTAATATTATCCCTAATTATTGAGTCTTATTAGAGTTGGGATCGCTAGACTTTTATAGATATTTATATGTTATAATTTTAGATTTGACAAATTTGAACTTTATTATATTTTTTGAAAATCTAAACAGAAGATAATATTGTATAGAATATAAGGTCCTCACTCTAAACTAAAATTAAACTTTAAGCAAATAGTATGTTAATATAATTGTTTTGAAAAAATAACAATTAAAACATTGAATTTAATCCCTTACAATAAAGTTTTTTTAAAAGCTATACAATAACTAACATTCCAGTTACACCATGCAAAGTTGTCAATGTATGTCTTTTGTGTTGATGGGTTACTGTCTCACAGTAAGATATACTTTACATCCCGTTTGATGTATTTACATAAAAAAGGGGATACATATAACATCCCCTTTTATGTATTTACATAAAAAAGAGAATACATATAGCATCCCCTTTAATGTATTTACATAAAAAAGAGAATACATATAACATCCCCTTTAATGTATTTTCATAAAAAAGAGAATACATATAACATCCCCTTTAATGTATTTACATAAAAAAGAGAATACATATAACATCCCCTTTAATGTATTTACATAAAAAAGGGAATACATATAACATCCCCTTTAATGTATTTACATAAAAAAGAGAATACATATAACATCCCCTTTAATGTATTTATATAAAAAAGAGAATACATATAACATCCCCTTTAATGTATTTACATAAAAAAGGGAATACATATAACATCCCCTTTAATGTATTTACATAAAAAAGAGAATACATATAACATCCCCTCTAATGTATTTACATAAAAAAGGGAATACATATAACATCCCCTTTAATGTATTTACATAAAAAAGGGAATACATATAACATCCCCTTTAATGTATTTACATAAAAAAGAGAATACATATAACATCCCCTTTAATGTATTTACATAAAAAAGAGAATACATATATTCAATCTTAGCCGTAGTGATTCCCAATTTGTTTCCATGAATGAAAGAATTGATAACTATATTTAATGATGAAAAAAATTGTAATGTCCAGTCATAATAAATTTGCTTCTCATATCTTATGCTATTTAAATTTGTGGCAATGGGTTTCCATAATAAGAAGATTATCCCTATTTTGAATCAGAGATCCGAGTAGATCTATAGCAAAATTTAAGGTAAAAAGCTTTTGGTGGTCACATAAAGCTTTGCCTCTTGCATTTCCTATTCATATATGTAAAAAGGATGATGATGACGGGAGTCTGTTTAACACAGTGTGTCAAATAAATTCATTTTTAGGACGAGAACAGTTGTTTATGTGATGTGTTATGAACCCAGCTTTGTGGTCCTATATCCATTGATTGCTGAGGAAATGTTTTTGTTTGTGCATTGGTAGTTACAAGTTAACAGTTCACTTGAAGACATGTCATCCTATCTTTTATTCAGCCACAGTGTACAAAAGTAGATGTTGATTGATATCCCCTATCTTTGATTCTGCCAGGGTGTACAAAAGTAAATGTGGATTGATATCCCCTATCTTTGATACTGCCAGGGTGTACAAAAGTAGATGTGGGTTGATATTCACTATCTTTGATTAGGCAGGGTGTACAAAAGTAGATGTGGTTTGATATTCCATATCTTTGATTTGGCAGGGTGCACAAATGTTGATGTTGATTGATATTCCCTATCTTTAAATCTGTCAGGGTGTACAAAAGAAGATGTTGATTGATATTCCCTATCTTTGATACTGCAAGGGTGTACAAAAGGAGATGTGGGTTGATATTCACTATCTTTGATTCTGCCAGCATGTACAACAGTAGATGTGCTTTGATAGCCCTATATTTGATTCGACCAGGGTGTACAAAAAGAGATGTGGGTTGATATCCCCTATCTTTGATTTGGCCAGGCTATTCAAAAGGAGATGTGGGTAAATATCCCCTATCTTTGATTTGGCCAGGCTATTCAAAAGGAGATGTGGGTAAATATCCCCTATCTTTGATTTGGCCAGGCTATTCAAAAGGAGATGTGGGTTGATATCCCCTATCTTTGATTTGGCTTGGTGTTCAAAAGGAGATGTGGGTTGGTATCCCCTATCTTTGATTTGGCTTGGTGTTCAAAAGGAGATATGGGTTGATATCTTGTATATTTGATTCACCAGGGTGTACAAAAGTAGATGTGGATTGATATCCCCTATCTGGTTACTCCTGGGTGTATAAAAAGAGATGTGGGTTGATATCCCCTATCTTTGATTTGGCTTGGTGTTCAAAAGGAGATGTGGGTTGGTATCCCCTATCATTGATTTGGCTTGGTGTTCAAAAGGAGATATGGGTTGATATCTTGTATATTTGATTTACCAGGGTGTACACAAGTAGATGTGGATTGATATCCCCTATCTGGTTACTCCTGGGTGTATAAAAAGAGATGTGGGTTGATATCCCCTATCTTTGATTCATCTATAGGGTGTACAAAAGTAGATGTGGGTTGATATCCCATATCTTTGATTCATCTAGGGTTTACAAAAAGTAGATGTGGGTTGATATCCCCTATCTTTGATTTGGCTCGGTTTTCAAAAGGAGATGTGGGTTGATATCCCATATATCTAATTCAGCAGGGTGTGCAAAAGGAGATGTTGGTTGATATCCCTTATATTTATTCGTCCAGGGTGTACAAAACAAATGTGGGTTGCTATCTTTGATCCAGCAGGGTGTACAGAAGGAGATGGGGGTTTATATACCGTATATTTGTTTCGTCCAGGGTGTGAAAAATACATGTGAATTGATATTTCATATCTTTGATTCAGCAGGTTGTACAAAAGAAGATGTGGGTTGATATCCCCTAACTTTGTTTCCGCCCAGGTGTACAAAAAGAGATGTGGTTTGATATCCCATTTTTAACCAGATTTCCAAAGGAAAAATCGGTTATTGATTTGGGAATGTACGGGAGGCTGGCGGGCGTCAGCTGCCAAACAGTGTCCGTTCATTAACATAAAAACGCTTTGACGAAATCTTTTCAAATTTAGACATGTTGTTGCCTGTGACTAAATGAAGGTCAAGTTCAATTTTCACGATTTTAGCTTTTGTTGTTGTTGAGTTGTAGACCTTTCAGTAGTGAAAAGTGATTCTTAGAGCGTTGTCCATGCAATAACTTGATAACACATTGACGAAATCTTTTCAAATTTAGATATGCTGTTTCCTGTGACTAATCGAAAGTTCAAGTTTGATTTTCTTGATTTTAGCTTTCATCGTTGTGGAGTTGTAGACCTTTCAATAGTGAAAAGTGATACTTAGAGCGTTTTCCATGCAATAACATATAAATGCTTTGACCAAATCTTTTCAAATTAAGATATGTTGTTTCCTGTGACTAAATGACGGTCTAAATAGATTTTCACGATTTAAGATTTTAATGTTGTTGAGTTGTACACCTTTATGTAGGGAAAAGTGATATGTAGGTTGATTTTGGCCTTTCCATTTCTGAACCCTACAAAATTTTTTTTTTTTTTTTACTTGATCATGTTTTGGGGTCCAGATTTGCAAATATCATTTTCATGCAGGAAAATCCGGTTTGCTGTCACTCTGACAGCCTCCTGTTTTTATTTGTCCAGGGTGTACAAAAGGAGATGTGGGTTGATATCCTCCATCTTTGATTTGTCCAGGGTGAATAGAAGAAGATGTGAGTTGATATCCCATATCTTTGATTTGGCCAGGGTGTACAAAAGGAGATATGGGTTGATATCCCCCATCTTTGTCCAGGGTGTATAGAAGAAGATGTGGGTTAAAATTGATACCAATGAGACCACAACCAAACAACACAAAACCAAAAGACATTTAGAGGTTTACATACTGTCCGAAACAATAGGAATGAAATATCTTAATATTTCAAGTATGTACACATTATTTCAAGTGTGTACACAATATTTCAAGTGTCTTCACAATATTTCAAGTGTTTAATAGTATTATAACTGATACACAGCTTGTCAAATTTGTGATTTTCATCTGACATTTGTCTCAGATTTAAAACAACTTCATAGATAGGTGACCGTGACAAATTAAAATCCATTATCATAACAAGATCAAACCATTAAGAGATTTATACAAAGATTTAATGGGATCTTAATCACAGATGAACAAGTTAAAAACAAAAGGAAAATATAACAAAAGGTCTTTAAACATTCATAAACTATTTGATAGTGCTAAAAGTTAATTAATCTGTTTAAAAGATTTTAAAATTACAGTTACTGGCTAAAAAGTTAGGGTCATTGAGAAACACGATGATGTAAATGATTATCTCCCCTGATCAGTAGATTTGATAATTTTTAATCCGTCAGAATCTTGTTATCAGATTTAGATTTAATTCTTAGTATTAAATTTTTACGTGAGTATTTTCAATATAGGTTCTTATTTGTTCCATCCTGGGACTCTGTGAATTTCTGACTAATATAAAACTGCCTATGAAAAATTCTAAATCAATTATAGCACACTTAAACAAATTGGAAGTATCTTTTTTAAGGAACAAACAATTTCAACAATTCATATAAAGTTTTATAAAAAAAAAATGACTACAATTGTTGATTTTTAGTTGCTTTTTCCATTTCAACACATTTAAATGCTTCATACAATAATAAATTCTTCATGCATTCTACTTTTTAATATATTAATCTTAATCTTATTTGCTAGCATCTTAAAACAAGGAATTATTTGAATCTGGAATAATTTTGAATTCTGGAAATATGTGATGAAAACTAACACAATTTTAAGTAGGGTTTAGTGAGCCATATAAAAATAAGAAGATGTGGTATGATTGCCAATGAGACACCACTCCACAAGAGACCAAATGACATAGAAATCAACTATAGATCACTGTATGACCTTCAACAATGCATGCATGGCTAAGGAGGGTTAGTTAGATCATACTGAA